GGGGGAAAAAAAAAAAAAAAAAAAAAAATGAGATTCTCTTCATGAGAAACCAGCAAAAAGATTGATGAATGAATGAAGATGTACGAATTCAGAAATTGTCTAATGAAATGATGATAAATTTATCAAAACAGAAACCAGAAAAAAAGGGAACAACATGTGGGCCTAAAAAAAAAAAAAATAAAAAAAATACCTTACTCCGTGGAGTAAGTTACGTTTACATTCATTCTTGAGGTCTAATGCATTTTGTAATGCATTTCTCTCCTTATTAATGGTGTCAAATTAATACTTTAATATCAATATTGTATACTACTTCTGGCCATATCACCCAGCCCTATTTAACAAACATATAAAAAAAGTTTGCTAATAATAAACTGTATAATTTTTTGTGGTGGGGCCAAATGTCAGCAGGGTTGGGGAAAAATAATGGTTACCATTTTGCATTGGAACCTTTCTTTGGGAAAAAGACGTTAAATGCATGCTTACCTTATTTGCATCCAGTGAGTCGAGCACAGAAAGGTGTTCAGACACAGTAAGTGAGCATGGGGATGCAGTGTGTGTGCTGGGTGGGACTTCCTCTGAAGGTGGGATAAAAGTTTGTCTGGCGTGTGGTCTCTCTTTTTCCCGCTCCATAGGTGAAGGCTTGCTGTGGAGCTCCAGGGTGGCGTTGTGTAGCGCACTGAGCTCCGAGAGGTGAGATACCTGCAGATGAGAGGGGCGCTCTTCACTGCAGTCCAACCTACGCAGGATCTCTGGGGAAGATAGGGAAGCAGAGAGGGATGGGTCACGGGAAAGGCCTTCAAGAAAGCGGTGGCCGTGTTTGGGATGGTGGTCCTGCAGGTTGCAGCGCTGTCGGAGCTGCTCTAGCTCCTGCTGCTGATAGGCCAACTCTTCTTCTTGCACAGCCAGGTCATCCTGCAGACTCCGCAGCTCTGCCTTCAGGTGCTGGTTATGGACCTCGAGATCAGCCAATGCACGATCTTTCGTCTGATGGTGAAAGATCAAATCAGCAAACTTGATTTTTACATTTATGATAAAAATGTGAGTGGTGCTTTTGCTCTATGGAATTACTTATTCTATTAACCCTCATAATGCATTAAATCTGTATACGATTTTTGCATTCTGGGTCCATTTGGACCCAAAGATCTTTTTATCTAAATATCTAAATAACTAAACCCATATTGTATCTAATCAGCAGCAACTCCTCAATGCGAAAACATTTCAAATGTTTTAAATGTTACAATATTTACCCTTTTTTTTTTTTTTTTTTTTAAAAGAGAAATTCTTTGAAATGTAAAATTACACAAGCCACATCAAAAAAAGATGCAAAATAAATATATATTTTTTAATATTGATGAGAATTATTTGAATATACCATTGTATTGAATTTGTATTCAATTGACTTGAAAATTTACTTTATAATTCATGATTGCCCAAAAAGTCCAAATCTATGAAACCTACATAATTATTTCTAACAAAGCATAATCAAAACAACAAATAATACTCTGAAAAGTATTCAGACAAAATAAGTTTTTATTTGCATAAACTTTCAGATGAAAAAAAAAAGTGATACATTTTTCATGCTGCAATGAAAAAGTGGCATGCATGTTCACGGTTAACAAAATTCAAAATTATTAAGTGGTGCCAGGAACTAACTAGTTTGTGAATCATGGTTGATAATGTACAGCATCACTTGGGTAATAAAACTTTGGCTGTAAATTGCCAAATCCTAAACTTGAACAGAAGTCAGGCCAGAAATAATTTAACAGACGAACCACAAGATACAGAATGTGTATCAATAAAGGAACTAATCCACACACCTGTCCCTCTTCCTGTAGCTTCTCCGCTCTCTCTGTGCTGGTACTAAGCCCCTCCTTCACAGCTGCTAGCTCCGCCCTTAGCGCATCATGCTCCGCCCTCAGGTGGATCAGCTGCTCTTCTCTCTCACGTAAAGCAGTCTCAGCTCTAGCCAAGGTCTCTTCAGCACATGTCTGCAAAAACAAACACTCAATGTCAGTTCTTTACACCACACACACAAAATGTGTTATATCAGCAGTTACAAAAAGTTGTTTTTCGTTAAGGTCATGCTCTGATAAATGAGCAGAAGAACAAGCTCAATTTGCAGCAAGTCACCTGTAAAAATGCATGACTCAACATCTAAACTATTCCCAGCTAATTAGTGAACCTAAAACAATCCGAAAATGACATACAGCTATTACATGTTAAAGCAATCAGAGTTTTGCCTCCTGCTCAATCAAAACAGAAATAGGCTTGCCACTAGAAAGTTCTAAGAAATTAAATGTTATTTGCTAAAATACTGCTCCATCGTACTGTAAACAGAGCAAATATAAACAGTGCAACTCTCCACTTTACCTCATGACTAATCAAGTCTAGATCAAGCTTTAAAAGTAAACGGTTTAAAAGACGTCAGACAGACTTCCTCTTTCTGTAAATGTACTTCCTGTGTGAGATGTCCTCTCATGCCAGAGGGTTGGACTAAATCATTCTATTCTTGTCCCTCCCCTTTTTTCTTCTGTAAATTTTAGGCACTACCCAGACTGCACACACAACATAGTTAATCTGCAACTAATTACAGTAAAGCATGAAACCTCGAGGCAACTTCCCTCACTGTTTACATCATAGTACATAGAAAGAGTAAAGTTTACAGCCCAAGTCCGTAACAATTATGGTTTGTCTGCAGTGTTGCTCAGATTACATTACAATAAGAAACAAAAACTATATACACTCACCAGTACTTTTTTCTGAGCTTCACCTTGTTTAGCCACAGTCTCTTCCTGTTGCTCGCATAGTTCTTTTATGTAATTTGTCTTTGATGTCACTTCCTGTTTCAAACGCTCTATTTCCTCCTGGAGGCATCCCTCCCGTTTTCTCAGAGCCTCTCTCTCAATGAACAGTTCTTTTTTGCTTGCCTCCAAGGCAATGATGGTGGCTTTGCTTACTTGGACGCTCTCCTCAAGCTCTTCGAGTTTGGACTGTAAAGCGGCAAGTTCATTCTGATACTCCTCTTCTTTGCTTTGCAGTTTGGAGATTTGGTTTTCCAGAAGCTCCTTCTCAACACACTGGTTCTTCACCTCCTCCTGCAGCCTGCCAAGCTCCTGTTGGACCTTGTCTCTTCTCTCCTCCACCCTTCTCAACTGGAGTTCAGACTCTCTAAGCCTGGACTGATGAGCTTGCTCTGTATCTTCCAACACTTCCACACGAGCTGCCAATCTCTCAGCTTCTGTCCGCTTCTCCTCTAGCTGGAGTTTCAACTCATTTGCCTCCTGTTCCAACACGACCACCTTCCCCCTTTCCTCTCCGAGACTCCGGCCGAGTGTCTCCACCTGGCTTCCATACTGTTCCTCTTGGGAGAGCAACAGTCTCTGAAGAGAGTCCTTCTCTCCAGCTGCTCGCTCCAGCTCAATCTGTAACTCCTGCAAGCGAGCGCGAGACGATTGCAGCGTGTGGCTGCTGAGCTCCTGACACAGGCTTTCCTCGGGCACCTTCTGCTGGCAAGGATGAGGGGTCCAAGGGAAGTCCGATGACTCGGGGCTGTCAGTGTTGAGGTCACTGACTTCATGATGGTTGGGGTCAAGCTGGCTCAACTCCTCTTGAAGCTTGTTAATAACTTCATGGAGCTGCTCAGTCTCTTCTTCCTTTGCCTGCCGTAAACGTTCCTGGTCACAACGAAGACGCTCAACCAGAGAGCGCAGCTCTTCAATCTCAACTTGCTTTTCCTCTAGCGTCTGAAAATGGTAATAAGAACTAGTTACAAATCAGCAGCACACTCAATCATCACAAAATAAATTAAAGAAGTCTTCAAACTAAGCTAAACACTAAACCTTAGATCTAGTGTATTCCAATCTTCCTGAATAACAGGGATGGGATTTTAAAGGGGTCATGAACTGAGAAATCAAAATTCCCTTGATGTTTTGACATATTAGAGGTCATTGTACTATAAAAACATCCTGTAAGTTTCAGAACTCAAAACTTTCTCGTTATTCTAAAAACAGCATACATTGAAGCCAATCTGCCAAAACGACAGGTTGTGGAATGTGCCACTTTATGACGTAAAAGTGTCAAAACCCCGTCTCCGCAGAAGACGATCAACACCTACTTCTACATCACTGCCTTTTTTGCCCCGCCCACCGATTTGTGCATGTAGTGTAAATAACGAGAGAGGCAAACGCAGGTCTACGCAGAAACCAAACGATAAAGATGCTCCAAAGACTACAAGATGCTGTGCAGTGCCAAGATGTGGAAAAACAGTCTTTGCATTGCCTTCCTTCTGATCCCAACATTAGGAAAGACTGGATGACCTTTACTTACAATGAAGATCCAGACCGTGTCAGTAAGAACTTGGTCCTTTGTTCACTTCATTTTACCGCGGATTCGTTTACAAACAAGGCACAATTCAATGCAAGAATTTCAGAAAGATTGAAACTAATAGACGATGTCGACTATATTGGATCCGACAGTAATGTAACACCACACAAGTGTGAGTAACTGTTTTTATTACGTGATCACTGCTTTGTGTGTTATTACAGATCGTTTGATATGTACCGAGTATTTATGCATTTTTAACCTAAATCACAGCAGCGTCCATCTATGAAGGATGTAGGCTGTCAAACATACACAACTGTTAGCCAATCATAGCAGTGGGCGTTTACTTCCGAGTCTACAATCCGCCACACCTATTCAAACAGAGCATTCCGATGAGGGGGTCAAAACAGGACAGAAAATAGCCTATTACTTCTAAATTATGTTTTTTTATTTAAAAAAAATCTTGATGACATTATTAGTAGACCTCAGAGAACAGTACAAAATAATAAAAAAGGCAGTTCATGACCCCTTTAAAGGAATGGAACTATTCCGATTCCTCTTAATTACAGTTCCATTAATGTTTCTTTTCGTACTTCTGAGTAAGAGATTTGGGGAAATAAAAAACATACATGGACATGCTTTTTTTTACCTTATTATCATTGGTCATATCAAGCTCCTGCTGCAGCTGGAGGATCTGCTGGTTTAAGTGGTCGATCTCCAGAATCTTCTCCTCCAGAAGGGCAGAAGGCAGCTGAAGGATGGATTCGTCGCTGCCCTCTTCTAGTCGCCTTGTCAAAGCATCCACAGTCTCCTAAAGGACACACAATGAGGTCCACCTTGTTTTTTAATATCCTCCAAAAAATCATCAACTAAATCCCCTACACTATTCAATGAGTTCTGTGCTATAAATACAATTTATCCAAGACTGTCAACATGCTGGCCGTCCTATCACAATAGGATTGCCAGACTGCACTGAGACCACAGCCTTACCCGCAGGTGCGTGATGTGTGAGTGAAGCTGATCTTCTGTAGCTCTGCTTTCTCTGTTTTTGAGCTCCAGCTGTAGTGTTAGTTGTCCAAACCTTTCCTCTCTCACTACCAAATCCTTCTCAAGCTCACTTATACGCTCTGACAGAAATTCCACCTAAGAGAGACGAAAAGTCTTAAATCAGTTTCCATGTAGCATGTCCTAACTAGAAACAAAACAACCTGTTAAAGCTAATTTCATATCTCTATGACTTCCTTTTTATACACACCTGTTGTTCTTTGGTCTGCAGATCCTGTTGTGTGGCTTCCAGCTGCTCCCGGAGGCTGGGCTCAGGGGTCATATCAGGGAAACGGTGTCTGGTCTCATCAAGTTTGGACTGTAGGGCAGAGATCTGGAGTTTATTAGCATACTGCTGCTGCTGCAAAGCTTCTTTATCCTGAAAGTAAAAACACACGGACCACTACTGGTTAGAACCATGTAGATATTCATGCTACAAAATAATTCCAATTCTACCCAAACATTAACACCCAACTGAAGCCATGAAAAATGCATGTAAGGGGTTTTGTAATCTCTAAACACACATTTGCTCAAGTAAGTGTATTTTTGTGCACCTGTGTGAGCTCCTGAAGGTTCTTGCGTGCTTTCTGAAGTTCTTGCTCCAGCTGTGTGACCGTTCGGCTGGACTCTGCACAGCTTAGCAATGCCTGCTCCAACTCTCGGATACGAGCTGCCAATTTTTCAATCTCTTCATTACGTTCTTCCACATCACGCTGACACTGCACTTTTGCTGACAACAGTACACTATAGTCTTCAATCTTATCTTTGATCAGAGCCTGAAGACTTTCCACCTGTACAAAATTAGACAAAGAATGTAACATGTATCCATAACAAGGGAAAGGAACAGGCCACAGTCCTAAGAAAAGTGAATGTGTGAGTATTTTAATACAAATACTGAACATCCATGTGGGAATACATGCCAAACAGCAGCACTAATTTTGCTAAAGCAACAGTTTTGCAAAGGATGTGGCTTACAAGAAGACAATCCTAAAATGAACAGACACAAATGTTTAGGCAGTAAAGCTATTAAATAAAGCCTTCAGAAGCCACTACAGTAGTAAGCAAAGACATTTCAGAGGAAAGAGAATAAGTGTGGGAATATGTGTGTATTTGAGTAGGATGGAAGAGGAAAACACAACACGAATTAAAGACATGACTGATGTATACCTGCTGAAAAAAGGTTTGACAAACAAGACAGTGAATGGACAATATCTATTACATGCTCTACTAATTGAAATGCTGCATAAGCCATGCAATTTTTCTACCAGCACGATAATGACTACAGCTGGATAACATACCTGAAGAACCAAGTCCTCAATCTACAACATTCAGTTAGGGAGAAAAATAAAAAAAAAAGCATCTAGATGAACATTCAAATCATTCAGAGCTGTCAGATTACCAGAATGGTTTTAGTCATTACGGAAGAGGAGTGTTTTTTTTAGATTTTGCCTAGAGCATGTAATTTTTTATGTTTTCTTTTGCTCCATTATCAGTCTGTTATAGGACCAGAAATACAGGCACATTAATAATGCAACTGCATGAAAAATTCAGTAGGGGTGCTCCGATTGATTGGCTACCGATCGCTATTGGCCGATAATCGCTTTGGGAAGTTTGATCGGCGGTCTCTATAAAGGCCGATCTCAAGCTGACGACGCACCTGCAGTGAGAGGTTTGGCATGACATCTCAAACTCTGTCCGGCACGGGTAAAATAATTATAATGCTGAAGGTGAGGTACAATTTATATTTCTTTATTAAATAACTAAAAAAGTACATTTAAAATTTTCTGAGACATAATTTCACAAACAGCATGAGTGAATCACTGCTTGCTCTCTCTCTTGAGCTCAAAATGCGCAAATGGCTTCAAATCACAACAACGCGTCTGCACTATAAGCGAGCTGCACAATTGACACAGGAATTGTCACTTGCACAATCGAGACAGTGTCACTAAAGTTTATTATTTGCTTATATATATAATTTGCAAGT